AGTATTATAGAAAAAGAATAAATAACACTCTATTGAGAGTTGTAGCTAATATTCAAAAGATTTTGCCTTGGAAAAATGAAGGCTCACAATGAAATAGTGACAACCTACATCACTAGACTCATTATTTCCCACAATATAACTCTAAAAAGTTCTCAAGTACAAACACTGTGGCCTCTGTACCTATTGTAGCCATAAGAATGGCTTTGCGTCTCAGTGGTAGAGCACTTGCCTAGCATGTGGGAGGCACTGGGTTCGATTCTCAGCACCACCTAAAAAATAAACAAATAAAATAAAGGCATTGTGTCCATCTATAACTAAAAAAAAAAAAAGGCTTACCATTTACTCCACCATATTCATAGTTTGCAAGACACTAACATCATCTTAGAAAAGAACATTGTTAAGAGGCACACAATCCTATTGCCATCTCTTGGTACTTATACATAGGTAGAGACTAAATCTCCTATAGTAAATAACTATATGGTAAAGAACAAGCTTTGTGGCTCTAGAGCTTGGATATCATTTCTATGTGTTTTGTAATTGTGCCACCAAGACAGGACATCAATAGCATGCCAATTTCTACCCCACCTGCTAAAAGAAGTCTGTTTATTTCTCATCTTTGTGAAATACATGTTTTAAAACAAGATAAAAATCAGTGCAACCAGAATTAGCAATTCCACTTAAACACTCCAATTGTAGATCACTAGATTGTACTCTAAAATTTCAAGGGTACTTGCCGAAAGTGTGTTTAACCCCTTTGAGCCCCTATCTTCTCATTCATGAACTAGAGAAAATAATATCTACTTAAGCAATGAAGTGATAATTAAATGGAGCATCTATGCAAAGTACATAAGCATTCAACAAATAGTAACTATTATAATTGTTACTTTCCAAGGCCACAAAACACCAATGTACAAAAATTTTTAAAAAGAGATAAATAAAAAAGACCAAATTAGAAAAATCCTGACTCTGCTACCTGCTAGTTGTCTGGCTTTGAATCTCTGTAACTTTAGTTTCTTCATCAGCTAATTAAGGATCAGAGTTCCCAATGATAGACATGTGTTTTCATTTCATGCAAAATGGCCAAGCAATGGTAAAGCCAGGTGTAAACTGGAGCAAATGTGAATTGGTACTATGCCCCAGCTTCCACACACACATAAAAAAAGAAGAGACAACATTAGGCAAGTATTTCTTCACAGTAAAATTAATTTAACTTTTATTATGAACTGTGCTCCTAAGCACACCTAGGAAGCTACATTGCTGAAATCATCACTGAAACACAACCTTCAACATTGCCAACAACCCAAATTTGTAAATGCAAATGACTAGTTAGTCATTTTCCTTGGCTACTCTTTTTCTCCATATGAGAAATTTGAAGTCCTTACAGACAAACCAGGCCTCATCTGTGAATGTACATAAAATAAAATAAAAGGTAACCAGTAGTCAGCAGCCGGTTACAGAAAGGGGAAAAACAGTGCTGAATTTTAAAAAGCCAATTACTAAAATACCTTTCTTGCAGGTGTGGAATTAAACCTAACACTCCATAAATTCTTGTTCATCACTGGAATGGCTGTAACACAATGAGATAACATTCTTAAAATAAAACTGAAGAAATATTCACAAGCTGTTCTTGTTTTAAAGATTAAGCAAAATATACAATCTTAATACAGTTATAAAATATTTCCTGTTGCAGCATCTGCATTTTTACAAATTTTAATATGAAATCAAACATCATTTTAGATATTTACCTGTTTCCCATTAGGGTTTCTAAAGGCAGCAGTCATTTTGGTGGTAACCATGATAAGCAGAGAAGACAAGAAGACTGGGGATTTGAATTGAATTTATAGCTGACTCATAGGGAGTGTTTACAACGACATTGCCACTGGGATCCACCCATTTAACACCCTTTCAGTTCCATCCTGCACATTCATTAGGTACTAACTTTAAGCTGGGAATGTGGAGGACTAGGAATACTGAAACCAAAGCTTTTTGAAGTCTTATGAGGTTGCTAACTGATTTTGGTTTTCTTTCTTCTTTCCTTTTTCTCTCCCTCCTTCCCTTTCCCTACCCTCTTTCCCTCCTTCCTTCCATGACTTGATTTGTCTCAGAATGACCTTATAACTGTTACTGTATTTAGGATATTGATTTTAAGGCATTGACTAGAACCTTCTATAATTAGATAGTTTCAATTCTTGAAACTTGACCATAGGAAAAAAAATATTATTTTTCTTGAACGGTTCTTTCTGGCTATGTTTTTACTCTTCATCTGAGGTTTTGGAATTCTGCAGGCTATTATGTTCTATGAAAGGATATTGTGGTCATATTATATCAGGGGCTATTAATTGAAAGTTTAACATAGAAGCAAATTACATACCTTGTAAGGGGTACCTAAATAGAAGCTACTTTCTCCATTCATACTTTATATACAAAGATATGAAAAATTGTGCTCTATACATGTAATGAGAATTGTAATGCATTCTGCAGACATGTATTTTAAAAAATAAAATCAATTAAATTTTTTAAAAAAAGAGATTTGATATACTGATTTTAAAGGACTACCTCTCTAATGGTAGTTTATGTCTTTAAACTCCTTACCATGGTCTGGGCACTGTGGAAGGACTATTCATCTATCATTTCACTTAATCTTCACCCTAACCCTATTGTAATCATTATTTACAAGTGAACCTCAAGCAAGTCATTAAGAATGCTTCATTTATTCACTCACAGAGTTATTGAGGGTATTCAACTATGTAAGCACTTTCCTTTGAGAAAGGGGATTAACTAATATTTCCAGCTTCTACAACATCATTAATAATGTTATATGCTTTCTCATGCAGCTATCATTATTAAGCTCATTTAAAAGCAAGAGAGTGAGGCTGGGGTTGTGGCTCAGGGGTAGCTCACCTGCCTAGCACGTGTGAGACACTGGGTTCGAGCCTCAGCAATACATTAAAAATAAACAAATAAAATAAAGGTATTAAGTCTATTTGTAACTAAAAATTTTTTTTTTTATAAAAAGGTTGAGGACGCTATGGCTGGTCCAAAGCCACACTGGTAGTAAAAGGAAAAGAAAAACTGCAAATGTAAATCTCTCTTGACTACAAAGCCTGTGTCATTTGAAGTTACAAAAATGTGGTGTCCATGTTCATACTCTCTTGAAGAAGGAATAGTCTGGCATAGAAGACAAACATGTAAATAAATAATATGGAAATCTAATATGGTGGAAACATACAGAAGGAGGTACCTTGATAGGCTGAGAAGTTGTACTACTGTATTTATCTATCTGTTTCCCCTTCATCTGTCCCTATTAGCAGGTATATTGGCCGGATTCAGACTAAGCCAGTTACCTTACCCTAACTCCCTGACCATACTGATTGGTTCAACAGAGTAGGCCTGGGAGTCTTACCCTATAGTTTTTCAAACCACAGTTATAAAAGTCTTTTGCCCCCTCATTATTAAACTCTAAGGATGTGAACTCAGAGAACATGCCTATAAAACACAAAATGGAATGGAAAGCATCCTAAGGATATTAGAATCCTTGGTTCCAGTTTACCTTGCCTTTCCTAAGTCCCTGTATTTCTGTTCTTTCTTTAATGCTATAACCTCCCCCAATAATCTTTGAATGATTCATTAACTCATTATATATGCATGTATAATGAAGAATTTTATTTTTTTAATTTTGAAATAGGGTCTTGCTGAGTTGCTTAGGACCTCTGCTAAGTTGCTGAGGCTGGCCTTGAACTTGTAATCCTCCTGCCTCAGCCTCCCAGATTGCTGAAATTACAGTTGTGTGCCACCACACCTGGCTCATGTAATATTTTTAATATATTATTCTAGGCATTGTTTTAAACACTGGGGTTAGATAATATGGTAGCCATCCTTTAATTTAGCCTCCAATGATCCTTGCTTTTGTCCCCAGTAATCCTTGCTGCCAGTTATTCATACCCATGTATAGTGACACCCACATTGAATACAGCTTGTTTTTGTGGTAACTAAAAGGTGGCAAAAGTGATAGGGTATAGGGTATAAGGATCTGAAACTATGTCATTGTAGCTTTTACCTTGCTATTTAAGATGGCATGCTTTGGGAAGCCAATCACCATGTGTGAGCTGCTGTGTATAGAAAAAGAAACACAAAAGCCTCCTATCAACATCAAGAGCCAGCTTCCCAGTCATGGCAGTAGGCCACTCTGGAAATGTATCTTTGGCCCTCGTCAAGCCTTTAATTGCTTTAATACTGGCCCACAGCTGACTGAATCTCATGAGAAACCCAAGCCAAACTCAAACAGAAAACTGCTTGCTGCCAAATTTTTGACACTTAGAAACTATAAGAGTAATACATGTTTCTTATTGATTAAAGGCATTACATTTCAGTGTGATTTACTGCCACTAATAGCAAGAAATTGCAAGAGCAATAGATAAGTAACACAATAATAATGACAAAAAGAGACATAATTTCTGCCTTGATGGAGCACAAATTCTAGTGACAGAAAACAGACAATAAAAAACATACACTATAAAAAACACATAGTAAAAAAACTATCCACATATGAAAGAATGAAGTTAGATCAAAAATTATACAAAAATTAACTGAAAATGAATCAAATACTTAAAAGCCAAATTATAAAACTATTATTAGAAAAAAAAATGGGGAAATTTTCTTGTCATTTCAAATTGGCAATAATTTCTTAAATAGGAGACCCAAAAAGTTGGAAAACAAAAGAAAAATACATATATTGGATTTGAAATAAAAATCTTTTGTGCATAAAAATACACTATCAAGAGAGTGAAAAGGCAACCCAAGAATTGGAGAAAATATTTTGTAAATCACATATTTGATAAAGGAATAATATCCAGAACATATAAATAATTCTTAGAACTCAACAACAAACAACTCAATTTAAAAAATGGCAAAGGACTTGAACAGACATTTTTTCAGATACAACAGGATATTCAATGATACACAACATTATTAGTCATTAAGAAAATGCAAATCAATGGGGCTGGGGTTGTGGCTCAGCGGTAGAGCGCTCACCTAGCACGTGAGAGGCCCTGGGTTCGATCCTCAGCACCACATAAAAATCAATAAGTAAAATAAAGGTATTGTGTCCAACTACAATTGAAAAATAAATATTTAAAACAAAAAGAAAATGTAAATCAAAACCAAAATGAAATCTCACTTTATACCAACCTGGATAGCGACTATGAAAAAAGCAGAAAATTACAAATTGGTGAAGATTTTGATAATTTAAACATTTGTGCATTACTGGTGAGAATGTAAACCAATGCAACCACTTTGGAAAAGAGTTTGGTAACTCCTTAAAAATTTAAAATTACCATATTGTACAGCAATTCTACTCCAAGTTACTCAAAAGAATTCAAGACAAGAGCATAAACATATACTTGTACCTTGGTGTTCATAGCAGCACTATTTCCAATAGCCCAAAGGGAAAGCAAGTCAAGTGTTTATCAAAAAGTGAATGGATAAATGAAATATTATACAATGTAATATTATTCAGGCTTAAAAGGAATGAAGTCTGATACATGGTATGATATGGATAAATCTTGAAAACATCATGATATGTGAAATAAGTCAGATTAAAAAGGACAAATATTGTCTGATTCCATTTATATGAGGTACCTAGATTAGTCAAACTCAGACACAGAAAGTAGAATAGAGATGACTAGATCAGAAGAAGGGAATGAAGAGTCATTATTTAAAGGGTATAGGGTTTCTGATTGGGAAGATGAAAAGGTTTTGGAACTAGGCAGTGATAACAGCTATATAGCATTATGAATATATTTTTTATTTGTTCTATACTGGGGATTGAACTCAGGGGCACTCTATCACTGAGCTACATACCCAGTCCTATTTATTTATTTATTTATATTTTGAGACAAGTTTTCAAAAAATTGCTAAGGCTGGCCTTAAATTTGTGAATGTCCTGCCTTAGCATCCTAAGTTGCTAGGATTACAGGCATGCACCACCATTCCTAGCTTCTGAATATACTTAATGAATTATGAACCTAAAGATGGTTAAGATGGCAAACTTCATGTTATGTATATTTTTCCATAATAAAAAAAGAAAAGATGTTGGGGATGTAGCTAAGTGGTAGAGTGCTTGCTAGTATGTGTCAATTACCTACACCAAAACAAAGGAAGGAAAGAAAGAAAGAAGGAAAAGGATATCTAGGAATTTGGAGCCTCTTGGAAAGTAAGAATAAATGAAGAGAGAATCTTAGTTTGACTTAGTTAAAATAATAAGTTGAACATATAAATAGAAAAAAATGAATTGGTATACTGTATACAGAACACTGAAACAGGGAAAGGAAGAGGAAGCATGAAGAAGGGTTATTGCTATTTTATTTTTTCGCTGTAGATGAACACAATATCTTTAATTTTATTTATTTATTTGTATGTGGTGCTGAGGATAGAACCCATGGCCTCACATATATAAGGCTCTACCACTGAGCCACAAAACCAGCCGTGGTTATTTTTAGTCAGGGAATACCTCACAGAGAAAGTGGTGGGAGAGAAGCCATTTCTGGGAAAGGCAACTCCAGGCAGAAAGAACAAATACAAAGTCTACGAAGCATGAACGTGCCTGGTACATTCAAGGAGACAGCGGGATGGTCAGAATGGAATGAGTAAGATAAAAAATTGTAGCATATGAAGTCAAAGAGAAAATGGAATCAGATTACACAGAGGTCTCTATGGACCATTTTTAGGACCTTGGCTTTACTCTAAATGGAATGAAGAAACAGAGTGACATATCAGACCTATTTTGTGATTTAAAGAATCAACTGGCTGCTGTGCAGTGAATTGACTCCAAATGGCAAGAATAGAACCCTAGAGGCCGGCTGGTAGTTGTTGAAAGATGAAGACTGTCTGGACTAGTGCGGTCAGTGAAGTGGCGAGAAGTGATCAAATTTAGATATATCTTCAGTCAACATTATTTGTCTTCATATTGGTTATTGGATTAAAAAAGAGAGAGAGAGAGCAAGAGATCAAAGATGAGTCTGAGATTTGCAGCCTGGGCAACTAGAAAAAATGGAGTTGCCATTTCCTAATATAGGGAATCATCTGCAATAAAGAGTCCTGACTGCTACTCAGTCAGAGAAATCTTCACAGAGAAAGTGATATCTGAGACAGATCTTCGTGATTCTTTCTCTTATGGAATGAAGAGTGTAGGTACTATTAGTTAACACTCATTGACCTCACTTTCTTTGGAATCTCATCTGTTGGATTATATTCTATATATGTGCATTCTACATATGATATCATTGGGCTTTTGACATGTTATGCTGCCATTAACAAAAGACCCCAAAATCTTAGCAGTTGTACCAGTGAAGGGTTATTTTTTGTTTACATATCCTTCCATGGCAGGTTAACACTAACTCAGTTCCACCACACAAGCTTCATTTTATTTTTTAAATGGTGAAACCTGTAATACTTAGAGAATTGCAGAATATGGCATCTGTATGTTCATTTATTTATTTGTTCATCTATTCAACAAATGTTTCCTGTCAGGCAAGGCTAAGTATTGAGTTATAACAGCAAAATAAATAATTCCTAATTTTCTGGAGCTTATATTGAAAAATGAGAGATTAAACACATAATTATAATAATACATAGTATATTCAGGTATAATAGATTGAATTACCTCTCTCATGCTTTTTTATTTTTTTCTTTTTTGAGACAGTGTCTTGCTATGTTGCTCAGGCTGGTGAACTCCTGGGCTCGAGGGAGTAGCCAGGACTACAAGTATGCACTATGCTGGGCCTTAATTGCTTCCTTTGAATTAGATCAATATAAAATTATTAGAACTAAAATATATTTAATTTTTGTTGTTGTTGTTGTTTATTGCACAGAAAGCCCTGACATTATTAATTCTATAATAATTGGAGGGGGGTAAAAAATCATTTTATCTTTATAATTCAGTATGAGTTCTGGGTTAACACTCCTGGGCCTTCACCTTAACCTTTGCCCTTTTCAGTATTTAATATTTCTTTTTTTCTGTACTGGAGATCAAACCCAGGCCCTTACACATACTATGCAGTGCTCTGCCACTGAGCTACATTCCCAGACTTTACTATTTTTTATTTTGAGACAAGAACAGGATCTCACTAAATTTCCCAGGCTGGCTTCAGACTCCCAAGTCACTGGGATTGCAGGTGAGTTTCAAAGACTTTAATCTCTTGATGTAGACCTAAAACTATAGTATAGAACTGTAATATACACATTGCATCAGGCTTTTGAAAGCTTACCTCCTAGCTGGGCATGGTGGAGCATGCCTGCAATCCCAGCAGTTTGGGAGGCAGGGATGGGAGGATCAAAAGTTCAAAGCCAGTCTCAGCAATGGCCTGGTGCTAAGCAACTCAGTGAGAACCTGTCTCTAAATAAAATATAAAATAGGGCTGGGAATGTGGCTTAGTGGTTGAGTGGCCCTGAGTTCAATCTCTGGTACCCACTCCCAGTGGAAAAAAAAAGCTTACCTCCTAAATAGAAGCTGTCTTCTGTAAAGTTTTTTTGATAATTAGGTATATTTACATACAAAAGAGCTAAAACAAACAAACAAACCTGTAGCTTTGTGAGTTTCAAATAACATCTAATTCAAATCAGGATTAATATCTAGCAATAATTCTGACAAACCCCACATAATTCACTTAATAACATTTTGTTGGAATAGCCATCTGAATTACCACCATCTGTTTGTTGCCAAGAAAGAGTCAATCATTTGCATTTTCTTTCTTTTTTGGTTTTTTGTTTGTTTGCTTTTAACTCCTGAGAGCAAGTAATCCTTCCATGTCAGTCTCCTTAATGCTGGGATTAAAGACTTGAGGACCCAGCAATTTTTTTAAAAAACATAAACACAATCCAAATATCTATTGACAGCCGAATGCATACGATATGTTAAAGTGAAAGTTTATTATATATCAGTGAACATGAGTGAACTATATATTCCACACAACAGCATGATGAATCTTCGAAACATAATATTGAGTTTCAGGAGCAATTTGCAGAAATTACCTTAAGATGTGAGACTAAAGAGCTGGGCTGATGGTACAGGCCTGTAGTGCCAGCTACTCCGGAGGCTGAGGCAGGAGAATCAATTGACCCTAGGAGTTTAGGAAGTTCTAAAAAGAACTAATTTATGTATTGTTTAGGAACATATACATGTCCAACAAAAGTATTATAGGATGTATGAAGAATAACAACATTCAGAATACCATTTCTTCCCCCTGGAGAGAGAGGCAGATGACTAGGGTAAGTGTGGTTCATGTAATGGCAATGGTATTGGCAATGCTTATTGACTGGGTTATAATCTGAATTCAAAGCAATTTGTTTTACTAAAGTTTCATTTTACATCAACTTTTTTTTTTAGAAATATTACAGGCCAAAAAACAAAACAAACAAACAAAAAACCCTTCAAGTTTAGGAACAAAAACATTCAGTGACATTTCATTCTACTTTGAAGAAAATCCCAGAGAGCAAGGATTCAAGAACTGGGATCCTTAAGTCTTTGGCTCTCCCACTGTCCTTCTTGTGGAGAAACTACCTGTCTGCTTTCTTGGTTTCATGCCACAGAGCAGCCAGGAATGCAACCTCCTTTATTCTGACATTTTGGATTTTGGTTTCAGAGGTTTCAATCCATAGATAGCAGGCTCCATTCCTCATGGCTCAAGGGGAGGCAGAACAACCTGACAGAAGAGTGTGGCAGAGAGAAGCAGTTTACATGATGATCAAGAAACAGAGAGAAAGACCCACTTTTCTTCTTTAGGGTATACCCCTGATTGTCAGTTACTCAGAGCCTGGGAAATACAAATAGATTCCATTCTGTATAATGCAGGCAGTTGGCGCATTTGTTGACCAAGTCTTTTTCTGTGTCACCCTTAAGGAATTGCTTCAATTCTGCATGCTTTTCATTCATCTCCAAAGTGTTCTGGTACTTAGGGTGGGAATGAAATGTTTTAAAGTTTATTAGCTAAGTTTCTCTGCACTCTTCCAGCCAAGCATCCTTCTTCTTCTTTTTTTAAATCTGATTAAATGTCACATATTAATTATATAAAATGTTA